TTTCTGAATGGTCCTGTGTATCTAAGTTAGCATGCCAAATTGGTTGCTTATTACAGCTGGCACAGTGCCTTAGCAGGCTAATGTGTTAATAATGTGTAATGTTTCTCTTAGGCAATGGCACCACTCTTCATTAGCGCGTCTCAAGCCCTGTCACTGTTGCTTAGCTCGACATTTTGTTTCTGATGTTCGAGTGAGGGTATTTGAAATCAGGGTTTCAGATCTGCTAATACATGTCACACACTCTTTAAAAATGGATTTTAAAAGGGCCTCAATAATTTTATGGCTACTAATAACATTTGTAGCTATGTGAGCTAAGCTAATGATAAGAGTAATCAAATTTCATGTTTCACGGCATAAAATGAGCAACTGTAGGGGTCAGGAAGGTATTCACTCCCTGCCCTCCTCCCCTGGGAACCACTGTCTTTTCCGGTTGGTTCAGTAGATGAGCAGTGTTTGGGATGTGAAATAGCACAGTGCTGCAGGGAAGTTCAGGGTCTCACACTGTACAGAGCAAGGATCTTATTCATAAGCATCAAACTTCTGGTTTCCCTTAGCAAATGGAGCAAAACATTTGAATGATACATTTGTTTTGCACTAATTATATCCCACGCTGGCATCGAATGCATGAAGTTGAGCCTCCCAATTTTTGTGGCTGTTTGCTCAAGTTCCTTAAATTTGACATATGAGCCTCATATTTCTGAGTGGCCTCAGCTTGGCCAGGTAACCCATATCCTAATTTTTCAATCAATGAGGGTGCTTGTTCAGGCTTTTCTCAAATTTCTATGTTTTCACTCTCTGTATTAGCAAGTTTTTTTAGAGCATTTCTTTAGCACTGAGAATAACTGCAAGAGGCATCCGAGGGAGCCTGGAGTCACCAGCAAACACCTTCCTTGGCAGGTACCATCACAGGACCACAGTGGGATTTGGCAAGGCAACAACTTGTTTAACTGATGTCTGGTTTTGATAAAGACTTTCAGTCCCTTGTTTAGCCAAATAGTGCCTAGAGCACTTTCCAGCACCCATACTTTTAGTGTGATGTGTTTTTTAAAACCTTTTAGTGCATTGTGCCAGTGATGAAGTGATGAGCCTAAAAGGCCTCACTTAACACAATGTGTAATAAACCAGATTGTGCTGAATAAAAAAAATCCAGCACAGACAGTCAAAAAGCTCTCTGTGTTTTTTAAGCAGAAAAACAGCTTTAATAATTAAAAAAAAAAAGAGATATTTTCCAGAAAACCTTGGCATCAGGCTTTGCCAAGAGTATTTTTTGAGGTTTGGACTAGATTGCCATGATGAGGGGGCTTCCTGGTACATCAGGGAACACAATGGGAAAGGCTGAAGTTAAAGAGCCTTTAATTGAGGCCTTCAGAATGGTAAGTATAACACTTCATTGCTCTGTTTAGGGGATTTTGAGTATCTCTACCATCAAGGCTACATTTGTCTGTAGGATTAATCACTTTTTGATCCAGAGGGTTTAAGACAGACAGCTTACTAGGAATGTGCTGCATGGCTCTCCCAGGCTGGCAATTAGCTTTGTTTTTTCATATTGTCTTGTTTATTATGCTCTTCTTCATCTCTTTTTTTTTTTTTGACCATCATGTTAATATACTAATTGATTTTTAATCCATTTTAATTCCATTTTTAGCTGTGCTTTTGGAGGATTTTTTAACAGAGGACTTTTATTAAAATCTCTGTGTCAAATACAGAACAAGAAAAACTCCTGCTGCTGAGCAGAGAACAGGTTTGTGTATCGATGACACTGCAAAGAAATCCTTGGAGAAACTCAAAGACATAATTTTGCTCTATTTTAAGGCTTTATCTCAAGACTTTCTGAGGTTCTCCTGCTTGCTGAAAAATCATTAAGTATCTGAATGATGCCCAGTACCACTTAACTTGAACACAAACAGGCTTCTTTGGGACATCGTTTGTACCTCACATGAAAGAAAAAAATATGTCACTGGAGCTGTTTGTGTGTCCACTCAGGAAGCTGTCCCCTGCTCTCAACAGGCTGTTTTCTCCTACATATCACTGGCCCTGAATGGCAGAGAAAACACATAACCCTGTGCCCATATTCCTAGTCCTTTATGGGCTAGCACAGAAGATGGAGGATGTCTTTATTTCCTCCTCACGTGTGCTGTTTGAATGGAGGGGTCAAGCAGGGAGGGGTTCCTGAACTGTAGACCAAAAACATCCATCAAGACTGTGGCTGGGAGGCATCCATGTGCAGTTCTCACATGGGATTACACATGTATGGGACCTGTGAGCTGTCAGCAAATAACACAGCACTTGGCAAAGCCCCCCCAGACCTGGCAGCTTGCTTTGTGGCTGGAACTAACCCAAATGTCCTTGAACGCTACCTAAGGGCTCGGATCTTTTCTGTTTCCAGATGAGGCTTTACCCTGAATCTGCTGGGTGGCCTTGGTTAAGGCAAGTTCGCTGCTCTGCATCCATTTCCCGCTTGGGAACCTACGGGAATGATGCTGACCACTTTTATACAGCATTTTTTTATACCCTGAGGACAAGCACAATCTCAGAACTGCATATTGTTGTGTAGAACAGCGCTCGGTTGATGTAACTACAGCATACCAAGCCAAAGCTTATTGAAATACATGGGACTGCAATGAAATGACTTTGGTCAGTTTTGGATCAGATGCTCAAAGCTGTAAAATTTTTTTTGACCTTCTGACATCCCCAGTGTGAAGTTACTAGCACAGCCAGAGCTGGATGCAGCACGAGCCACGCTTTTCTGTCACAGGCAGTTTGTCTTTCTTTTTCCTGGCTCTTCTTTTAATAAATGTAACTTTTTCTCCTATGGCTCAGGCATTGTGTTGAACCACCCCAACAAATGTTCTCAGGTTTTTAAAATATTCGCTATTAAAGAGATCAGGCCAGATGTGTTCTGCTGCCTTCATCACTCTAGGTTGTGTACTCTGTGTTGAAATGATTATTGTCATCACCCGGTGAAAGGCAGCTGATGAAAGACTCTCTCTCCCTCTGATGAGCTATCTATCCGCCCCTGCCCAGTGCAGAGTGCACAGGTTTTGTTTTTGAATGATATATTGCTGTGTCAAAGTGGCTTATGTGCTGCTTAAACTTATGCTGGTGAATGATAGAGAGTATGTATTAAACAATCTCACTGCAATGGGAGCTGTATTTTCTCATCTCCATCTTTGGGAGCACCAAAGCCAACCCCCACCTCCATGAGCCCAGCAGGGACTCCTGGACAGTATGTCTGGGTACATCTGCCTTCACACTGGACGTTTTCAAAGGAATACAATTGGATACCAACCATTTTAAGTCTTTCTAGAAGACACAATTGTCCTTTTTCCCCCACCCTATTCTGTTGATGAAGGAAACTGTTCTACATAACACATTTTGAAATGTTTTGGGTTTGGGTACCTTTCCCATAAAACCTTTTCTGTTCTCAAGTAGTGTAGCTTTTGTTTTTCCACTTGCCCCCCTTTTACTCCACTTTAATCCTATTTTTTCCAATTCTTTGCAAGGTTCAGCAACAATAGCTAAGAAGGGATAGAAGAAGAGGAAGCTGTAATATTTCCATTTTGGGTCTATTGCCAAACTCCCAAATCATCTCCCAAGGAAAGGTTTGATGAACAAAACATATTAAAAACACCATTTTGCCTTGAAAATGTTTTGAATGGAAAACTCAGTTCTCAAAGCCTTCCACACTTCCACAGTCCTCCAGTGTATCTGGTGAATTCCAGCACTGCTGAGCAGAGCCCATAACATGAATAAGACCTTTCCAAACAACTGAGAATAATTAAAAAACCCAGGGTGCAGACATTTTCCCTGTGTAGTGACACAATCAAATACTTAACCAAAAATAATGTAATGAAAAGTCTAGGTCACAAAATGGAGTACTTCAGCCTGGAAAAACAGTTTTCTGACCTTCTGGATTTCCTCTATCAGAGCACTACCATGCAGTGAGCAAACCCTATTTCTTACAACAAAGAAATTTAGCAATCTGCGAGGCTGTGTCACCTTGCTGGCAGAAACACTGAGCGGCAATAGTGCTGAAAGTCAACACTAATAGCTGACACCAAATTAAACTGCCAGAGTTTGTGTGATGTAGTTCTGTCACCCTTTGACACATTTGATGTGAATTCAGAGGCTTCTGCTGTAAACTCATCAGCAGAGCTCATGACGCATCATCTTTACATATCTGTCCATCCACATTTGTCAGCAAACCGTGAGCCTCAAATGACTCCAGCCATTGGGATATAGATTGCTTTACCTTCAAGTATAGTAAATAGAGTGTTTTAACACTTGTGATACCCTCAGCTCCAGCTTTTAACTGACAGAACCTTGTTAGCTGCGCTTCAGCCTTTCTGTGTCCACGCTGAACATGGTGATTGATGAGGGCTGATTATGGCAGTGGGGTGGCCCACCCCTTCTTAACCTGTGGCTCAAATCATCTCCAGTTTGCCCATGCAGAAGAGCAGCAGGCACACTCTTAAGTGTCTTCATGAAGTACCTGATTGAAAGGCCACAGCCAATTAGGTTGAGCTGAAATGGACACTCTCAGGATGTCTTTGCCTCTCAATTTGCCGTGTGGTGCCTGCAGAGAGCAGGCACTAAAAAAGTGCTGATAGCCCTCACATCTGCTTCACCCAACAGCTCTCAAACCTGGGCCTGGTGTTTCAGCCCAGGAAACATGGCAAGGTGGCTGTGCCCTTGCTTCACAGCCTTGGACTAGGAATGGCCCCGGCCATCTGGGGGTCAGATCCTGGTGCAGCACACAGTGCTCACAAATGTACCTCACGCTGTTGAGGCAGTTGTTCACTAATGACAAATAGATAACCTCCCCCCCAAATAACATGGCATTTCAAAACACAAACAACCCCCCATGTGTATTTCTCCCTGGGCAATCTGGAAGGGATTTCTAATGTTTATTTTTCTGTAAACCGTTTAGTATTTCTGCAGTTTCAGACTGATGTCTTTTGGTTAAGAGTTCCTAGTTTTCCAACTAATTTTGGACTTACTGGGGTGTCCTCGGAAGACAGCAGGGATCTCCTCAGATGCTGGTGTGTGTGTGAGCGCTGGACTTGATATGATGGTCTGAGCAAATGGTGAAGAGACTCACCAGATCTGTGCCATGCTTGTGTCTCCCCTATGGACAAGAAAGGAAAAGGGACTGCACTTTCTGTTTATGTCTCCATGGTATTTAACCTATGTATAAACTTCAATAGAAACTTATTTGCCACATATTGCCCCAGCAGGTTTAATATCATGAGTAATTTTCTTCCACTGACTAGCTTTGCTAGTGTAAATTACCATGGTGAGAAAACTGTATTTAGGCTCACAGGAGGAAAAAACAGACCAAGAACAATAAATCTGATTTTTTTTTTTATAAGTCTGTTTTAACATACAGTTTAAAATACTAGCTTCATAAGGTAGTATGCATGCAACCATTCCTATTCAAGTGTGAGCTATAACAGAGTGGGAATAGAAACATGATACCCTACAAGAAAAACACTCTATTTTCACCCTGTGTCTCCAAATCTCCTGCTTATAAAGTACTGCTGTAAAAACATTGCATGGTGTCCCATGTTCCAATAACCCTTTGCACCACTAAAATTGTTTCCAAAATATGGTAATAGAAGATTACACTTGCTCTGGAAAATTCTAAACTCCATAAATTTGTAAAAAAATTGGGAAACAAGTATAAGCTTTAAAAATATTTCCCATCAACTGCCATTGCTGCTTTGTGACCTGCTTCATTTGGAAACTGCCGTGGAGTGCCATGGTGGAAGCAGTTCGAGATCTCAGACCCAGCTCCTGGGATTTAATTTGACACCCTAAACATCACACTCTTGTCCTCTGGAAATGTCTTTCCTTGTTAGGATTCGTCTGCAAGAACTGAGTACAGCATTAAAACACAATTTGGAAACAGACAATTCTTTCCTTGGCGTGGAGCTGCTCCCATTCCAGGTGCCTCAGGAACACCTGAGTGGCCAGGAAGGGCCTGAGTGGCCAAACTGATGCAGCTGAGAGATGGAGCCACAATCAGCACCAGCCTTCAGCCCACTGTGTCTTGGGGCATCTGGGGCTCACTCCACGTGCAAAGGGGATTGCAGTGGAAATGCTGGCAGCTCTTCATAATTATATCACTTAGGCACCTCTGTAATTACTGTAGAGGCTTCTGGCATGCAAACAATATTAGGGTGCATCTTGTGCCTCACTTCTTTGATCTGCCTGTGTGGCAAAGCTCCCGAGGACAGGAAAGCATCGCTTCTCCTCACGTGTTTTAAAACAACTAGTTGTGCTCTCAGCAGTTTGCAGTTGCTTACTAACAGCAGTGCCAATTGGATTAATTCAATGCTTACTTCAATTTCCAGATTTCCTGTTAATAAACTGTAGAGTCCTGATGCCCAATGCAAGGTGCTCTGTGGACTAGAGCTGTCTCCGTAGTGTCCCAGGGAGGAGAAACATTAAACCTGCACCTACAGAAACTATTTATAAATGCACCTGACTTTGGCTTTTGTGTCATGTCATCACTGGGACCAGGGCTGTTTGTCCTTTCTTGCACCTTCCACGTTGCCAGCAGGGAAATGTAATTCCCTGTCTGTAAAGGAGCTTGTCCCACCTCCTGGATTTGGCACCTTCTGAAGTAACAAACAGTATAAGTCTTATGAGTACATTTTATGGCACTCTTGATCAGGTGAAGGTTTAAATCAGATGAGTTAAAATGGATCATGAGACGCAAAGCAGCCATCTCTGACATTACCTGGACTATGGCCAGTACACCACAGCATTCCTGCAAATGCACTGCTTGTATGAGCAATAACTACCTGGAGATAACACTACACGACAAGCAAAAACACAGCAACTAAAAACCATGCGTGCAGTAAAGGGTACAACTCATGTGAGGCAGGCAGTGGTGGCCAGGGAAGTGATGAGGCCCAGGGAGGTGTTCTCCACTCAGCCTGCAGCTCTCAGTGTAGTAACTTTATGCTGCATTTTCTTCTCTTTGGATGCAGTCTCCTACCCAGACTGCAGCAGCCCAGTAACATATCTCACACCAAGGCGTGAGGTAACTGAGTTCAGGGTGGTGCCCAGCCAGGACCAGTTGGGTTGTGTGCATGACAGATGGAGGGCTTCACAGCCTTGTCAGAGAAATATTTAAACAAAGTAATTTAAATAAGTTCTCTGGATGATTAGATATCGTAGCACCCTCTTCTGGCTTTCTGCATTCCCTGGATTGTGACCACCTCTCTCCTTTGAGACCATTTGGCTCACACGGGTTTGCTGTTCACAATTTTGGAGTTGCATTGGTCCCAATCCTCTCCCAGTTTCTAGAACCACATGACTTTCTAGGAGAACCTTCAAACTTGTGTTTCTCACACTAAGTCCCTTCACAATTAACCTTTTTGTGCAACTTTTTTAGAGCAAAATCTCCTTTCTTATTTTTTCAGTTGGTGACCATGGGAAAAAAAACCACCTGACTTTGCACATTTTGTACAGTTCTGACTGTACTGCTATGGAGAGAGTTACTGCAAACCCATGAAACCAGAGGGGGAGATCCTGTGTGAGGAGCAGGGACTGCCACAGCCAGCAGAGTGGCCTCAGGGAGCAGCAGAGTGGGGAGGGCCCTGCCACCCTCAGTGCTGCCACTAAGGCAGTTGGGGGCTGGTTTTAGGGGGTGCTGCTCCCTCTCCTACGTCCTCACTGTGAACCCAGAAACAAGTAATTATAATTCATAATATGGGTGTGCAAAATTTTCTCTAAGAGCTAATTAACCGTGAGGGCTAATATTTCTGATTTAGGGTCCACGAATGTCATTATACCATTATAAAATAAACTCTAGAAAAATAATGTACTTTTAAAATAAAACATTGCTTTCCTTTTACCCAGTAGGTTAAAGTACTTTGTTCCATGGTACCAGCTTTACATTTTTCATGTCATGGTGAAAAGGAATTTTTTAATTATAATTTTAATGCATCTGACCATATTTTGTTATGATACATTTTGAACCCAACTTGTAAAGGTGTCAGAAGAAAATATGTCTATTCCATAGAAATATCTGAACCATAAGAACACAGTTGAAATAACATAGTGCTTTTAAAAGAGCCAATTATTTATTTCAACTGTGATATTACATCTGTCATTAGCACATGTGAAATATTTGTTGTGTTATTAGGAAAGCTTCAAATTCAACAGTTTCAAAGCTCTCAGAATTTACAGGAACACAAGGTACCAGGTTATGGCTCCTCTGAAGCAGTTCTGGTGGCAAAAATCATCCTTAAATCCATTTTAACTACTTTCCCTTGCTTTCCCCCTTCAGGTGACAAAGCCACCCCCCCATGCCCTGCACCACTCCACATCCTTCACTTTATTCCCTCGGGGCACTGGGCAGGTCAAACACTGTGTAAGTGGAAAGGGGATTATCTTTGCTTTGCAGGCTTAGCAGCTGAAGAGCAGAAATCATCACCACATCCCACTAGCAACCAGCTGGGAGAGGGGCTGGGAGGTGCAGGAGGAAGGTGCTATCAGCACCCGGGGTAGCAGAGGGGCTCGTTGAGGGTCCCTGCTTGCATGGGGGCATTGTGGCCTCCCTGGGACACACATGGCAGCTGTTTGCCTGGGTGCTGCTGCCGTGGCTTTGTGTGCTTTGAGCCCAACCAGGTCACAGACACTGGGCCTTGGGTTCATGGACTGTCATTTGACTCGTTTTTAGTGCCAAGACTGTGTGTGGGCAGAGAACACAGCAGCCAGGCTGAGCAGTTTTCCAAAGACCACTGAGGTGACTGGCTGCTCTGCAGCATTGCCCCTGCCAGCATGCACCTCTCATGATCAGGGGTTGGGCTGCCTACCTGGAGCTGAAAACACTTGGCAGATGTTACCTGTACTAAACTCTGTGGATTTGTTGAAGCTGCAGCTTTGCTTTGTCTGTCTTGGCCTCACTCCTATAGAATGACCCATGTCTCTCCTCACTCTCCTTGCAAAGGCAGCAAAACTGTTGAAGTTATTTTTTTCCATTTTGGCTGCCTGGCTCAATCTATGGGGCTTAAAAACCCACTTAAATCACAGCATACTCATAGATCAGTAATAGCAGCACCACTGCTCTGACAGCAGCAGGAGATCACAGTGAGTGTACCGAGGGGACACGCATGCAGCACCCAAGAAAAATGTTTTTCTATCAGGGGGATGCTCTGAAGCTGTGAATGAAAACACAGCTTCATCACCCTCCTGAGCACAGAGTTAGTGGGAAAAACTGCTTAGATGCTTGGCAGTCAGACAGGAGTGCCTCTTGGAGAGCAAAAGAGGAAAGGATCGGGATGGATGTGATGAGGTTTTGATCAGCACAAGTAAAGAATTATCAGTAGCTTCTTCAGCTATGAGAAAAAAGAGGATTGCAGAGGATATTACAGATTTAGATCTTCCTTTGTTATTTATACCATGAAACTTGGATCTCCCTCAACCCTAAGCTAAATAAGAAGTCTCTGATACTTTGTATTTCCTTAACACTTTCTGTACCAAGCTCCTCAAGACTCCTAAAAAGCATCTCTTCGAAGCAGGACTCAGAGGTAGTACCTACTCAGACCTTTGGCTTAGTACTGATGCTCACTCAGCCCAAATCACTCCTCAACCCTTTTTGGTGGCTGCTTTTTGATGGCAGCTTTTTGGCATATCTTGCTGATAACTCAATATAGCTTATACACCTAATATTTCTAATAGGGGTGCTTTTCTCAACTGTCTCCCTCAAAATGGTTTAGTGCAGGCATGTTTTGATATTTCTGCCTCAAATTTCCCCCTCCACCTTTATACCACTCAGTTTATACCTCCCTGTCGAGTGTGTGAGCCCCAGAAGCCAGTGCTGGAGGAGCACAGCTGATGGGAGGCTGCTGCCTTAATAAAAGCAGCAACAGCCTCCAGAAGCCTGACACTTTCTCCCTTTCAAGCAAACATCTCTTTCCCCATTTATGGTGGACCAAAGGTCGACGACAGCAGCTCTGCTGTTTCCAGGGCTCTGCTGAAATCTTATGCCCTGGAATTGCTGTCAAGTTTAATGTTCGCATTTTATATAATGAAATAGCAATTGTTCCAGCTCTGCAACCTGCATGAATTCACACTGAAAAGATCGAAAATTTCAGGTGAATTTTCGCAAAC